CAATGCGCCCAATACCCTCAACCTCTTGACCTTGCGCGATGTTCCAGCCGTGTCTCCCGTTCGCCAAGATCTTTTTCGACGATGTCCACGTCCATTCCGATACCCGTCGTGCGCACTTGAGACACATCAGATCCTGCTGATGACATTGAGACATTACCGGTTCTACTTAGGATCCAAGAAGTCCGAGTGGTTCTCAAAGTCGTGGACTCCTTGGGCACCATCATTTCCGACGTCGGCATTGAAGTCGACCCCGCCAAGTGGGTGCGTATCCGTCAGTGGCCGATCCCTTGCAACAAGACCGATGTCCAGCGCTTCCTCGGCACCGTCAACTGGATGCGAGATCACCTACCGCACCTCTCAAAGATTTTGGAGCCGATCACCGCGTTAATGGCGCAAGCGACGTCATGGCGTTGGAACGAGCGAGAACAGCAGGCTTTCGATACCGTCAAGTTATGAGATGATCACCACTACTGTCAGGAGAAGTCGAGAGTCGAACAGAAGTGATCTATTTCAGCGTACCTATGAGATGATCACCACTACTGTCAGGAGAAGTCGAGAGTCGAACAGAAGTGATGAGAAGGAAGCTAAGAAATGGAAAGGTGGCCCGCGCTGGGATATGCCCAGGCGCGGGCGAAATCGCTGGAGCGCTGAGGCAGTCGCGCGCGGCTAAGTCCCCACTGCAAGGGCGGGCTAGCGGCGCGCGCCCGAAAACCGCCGGCGCCGGCGCGCTGAGGCACTCGCGCGCGCCTAAGTCCCACCACAGGGGCCAGGCTAGCAGGCGCGCGCAACGACCGAGGCGCCCCTGTCGAGCTGAGAGTGGACTCTTCACACCCCCCCCACGCGAATGCGAGGCAGATCCAAGCCGTGGGTGTCGAGTGCGAAGGCCTAGTGCGTAGCAGTGTGTCGAGAAAATCTTTGGGCCAAGAGCCTTTGTGAAGATGTCGGCCACCATGTTGCTGGTTCCCACATGCGAGAGTGAGATATCGCCCCGATTCACCATGTCCAAAAAGTGCTCGCGCAAGCGTATGTGTCGAGTGCCGAGACGCGGACAGGGCGTGGCAACTGCGGCAGCGGCTTCATTGTCAGTAAAAATGTGAGCCGGTGCAACAGGTTGGACATGGAGCTCCTCGAGCAGCTGACTGAGGTAGATCCCTTCCTTGCCAGCATGCGAGAGGGCGAGGTATTCAGCGTCGGTGGTAGAATCGGCAACTCGAGATTGACGCTTGGACGACCAAGACACGGCGGATCCGGCAATGTAGAAGACGTAGCCCATAGTGGACACCGACGTATCGACGCAGGCCCCCAGTTCGCGTCGGAGTAGCCAACCACGCCCGTGATGCGTGTCTCGCCGCAAGCATAAACCAGTTCGTCGCGATATGTGGCCCGGAGATAGCGGAGGATGTGCTTGACCGCGATCCAGTGACGACGTCCAGGGTTGTTGGCGAAGCGGGCCAGGTAGGACACGGCGAAGGCGATGTCGGGCGGGTGCCGAGCGAAATGTAGAGGAGCGAGCCGATAGCCTGCAGATACCATGACCTGATCCGTTCGGTGCCTTGACCCGGATGGCGGTGAGCGAAAGGCCGGGGGTCATCGGGACTGTAGTGCCGCGAGTCGTGGTGTCGAAGTGGAACCGAGCAAGCACGTCCATGATGTACCGTTCCTGGGACAGGGCAATAGAACCGTCTTCGAGTCGCCTGATCTGGATGCCGAGGATGTACTCTGCCGGGCCGAGGCGCTTGACGCCGTAGCGTTGTTCGAGGCCCGAGATGACACGTTCAATTTCGGCCAAGTCGGGGCTGATCATCAGGAGGTCGTCGACGTACAGCGCGATGTAGTGTGGGCGTCGCCGATCGTCGATCCGAGAGTACACGCAGTGGTCGGTGCCCGTCGCCGTATAGCCGAGATCTCGAAGCGATGCGTCGATGTGTCGATTCCAGATTCGGCCAGCCTGTTTGAGTCCGTAGATGGAGCGTCGCAGACGAAGCACCTTGTCGGTGGGTCGAAGCCGCGCGGTGTCGTCATCCAGATGTCATGGTCAAGGTCGCCATGCAGATAGGCTTTGTCGATGTCCGCCTGGTGCACGTGCAAGCCGTTGGCGGCCGCCAGCGCGAGGAGTGAGCGTATCGAGAGAGAAGCGTGCGACTGGTGCGAAGGTTTCGTTGAAGTCGATGCCGTCGCGTTGCCGATTTCCCTGCGCCACGAGCCGTGCCTTGTGGCCGGTGACTTCGCCGAGTGCATTCCGTTTCGTTTTCCAGACGAACTTGGATGTGACGATGGTCGCACCCGCTGGTACCGTGGATCGGTCCTCGATGGTGAAGACCTTGAAGTCGTCGCGCATGGAATTGAACTCGTCGGTAGCGGCCTTGGCCCACACTTCGCGCTTGTCACTCGACATTGCCTCGCGCCATGTCTGTGGGTCGCTGGTGATGGACTTGACTGGTTGAATGGCTTCTGTGTCAGAGTTGTCGTCGTCGGTGGCGATGAAGGCGCGGTGGTGTTGGGTGAGGAAATCGATTTCCGTCCGGCGATTCATCGCGCGAGTGGCGCCCAATGATGTCGAGTTCGTCGGGCGACTCCTCAGCCGATGCGGGCTCACGGTACGTGCTGAAGTCTGGGCGTGCACGTCCGGTGGGCCGAGGCGAGTCGGGGTCTGTGAGCCGATGAGGTCCAGAGGGTCGGCGGAGTAGTCAGAGTCGGTCGGTAAGGCCGAGGGTGACGATGACGCAGCCAACGACGGTGACAGCGCAGGCGACGGTGACAAGGGAGTTGCGGGCGACGGTGACGAGGACGGCTCAGGAGACGGTGACGAGGACGATTCGGCATCTGTGGAATTAAGTAAGGTTCCGCCAGTGTACCCTGGGCCACGTCAACGGCGCTCATGGCAGAGTCATCAAGAGAGGATGAGACGTCCATGTGCGCCGACCTTACTAGTGGGGTCCATGTCTTGACAACGGCTTGGGATTCGGTGGTCGGGCAAGCGCTGGCGAAGTGCGTGTCGGCGTCTTGCTCGGTGGAGTCGCTACGTAACCCGGGAAATTCGTTGTCGAGGAACCTGGCATTTCTGCCCAAACTGATCTTCTTGGTCGTTCGTGTGTAAGAAACGGAAGGCTTTAGAACCAGGTCATAGCCGGTGAAGAGAACGCGAACCGCTTTCGGGTCGAGTTTCGACGAAGTTCAGGCGCGACTGTGAGCCAAGCCGTGCAGCCGAACGGGTGAAGCGCCGAGGCGTTGGTGCGGTCGCCCTGCCAGGCGAAGTTCGGTGTTGCCTTGTCCAGGGCCGAGTGTTCGCACAGGTCTTGCAGTAGACGAAATAAGCTGCTGCCTCCTCCCAGAATGATTTGGGTAAGTGGGCGTCTGCAAGGAGGGCAAGGACACCTTCGACGATAGAACGATTGACTCGTTCGGCACGACCGTTCTGTTGAGGCGTTCGAGGGATAGAGTATTGTCGACGTGTGCCGCGTGCCTTACAGAATTCCGTGAACGCTCTCGAACAGTATTCGCCACCATTGTCGTTCGGAGGACCTTCAGTTTTGCATCCGTCTCGAGTTCGACCTCGGCAAGCCATGTCTTGAACACGCCAAAGACTTCGCTTTTGTGTCCGATCGCGTATGCCCACAGTTTGCGCGAGAAGTCGTCAAGAAACGTGACCAGGTAACGCTTGCCAGTCAAGGACGACTCGGGAAAGGAAAGCACATCGCTGTGTACGAGGCCGAGTCTCTCTGAGGAGTGCGAGTCCGAATCGGGAAAAGGAAGACGATGGCCCTTTGCACTGAGGCAAGCATTGCAGACAAACTTCTCTACCTCTTCGTCACTATATCCGGCCCCGAGACCTTCCAGCAAACCAGCGGCAACCATCTTCTGTATGGACGACGGTGCGAGATGGCCGAGGCAGCGGTGAAGGGTCAGCAGGGGCACGGAAGACTGTGAGCGAGAGAGGAGAGCGAGATGCTGACATTTGGAATGATCAGCGTCCAGCAAGTAGAGCCCTTCCTCGAGTCTTGCGCCTTCAGCGATAGCATTGCCGTTCTTGTCGATATGGATGCCGTGCTTCGTGAAGGCACACGGACATCGTCGGTGTCGCAAAGTCGAGAGACCGAGAGGAGGTTGACAGACAGGCCCGGGGTGTGCAGCACGCCGGTAAGCGTGATCGGGTGACCGGAGGCGGGCAACAAAGGCGATGTTTCCCGTTCCGGACGGCGTTGATGCCCCCTGCAATACCACCAATCTTCGTAGGAGCGATGTGGCGATAGGGCCGTGAACAGCGACTTGTCCGAGACCATGTGCGAAGTGGCACCCGAGTCGACGACGAAGGAGTTGTTGCGAAGCTGACGACGATGTGCGAGAAGACCGGTGGCGAGACATCCGACATGGTGTTGCGCATCAGAGGTGTCGGGCGTTTTCCCGTCCTCAAGAGCCTTTTTGCAGTCGAAAGACCAGTGGTCCTTCTTCTTGCAGGAGCGACACGGGCCTGGCGGTGGATGCTGGGCCCTTGTAGGGCATTGTGCGACGCGGTGAGAAGGGCTGCGACAGGCGAGGCACTTGGTACGGGTAGAACGTGGCGACGACGAGGCAAGGAGGGCCGATTGATCGTTGGAGAGGTTCGTTGACCGGAGTTGAACTCGCATACGGTCGGCCACTGAATCGATGTCAGGGAGAGTTCGTTGCGTGCGTTGTTCGTCGGTGAACGTTGCCTTGAAGCTCTCGAGTGACGGGTGGGCGATCGCGAGGAGGAGTGTGGCAAGGACGTCGTTGATCGTCGTTTTCGTATCGATGATCTCTTGCCGCGACCGACTTGAAGTCCATGATCCAACTGTCAAATTCGCCAACCGTTCGGGCATGGGTCGGAAGCCCCAGAGTCGCGAGAAGAGCTCGAGCGTGCGAGTGGCGTCATCAGGGCGTATCGCGATTTCAGCGTCGAGTAAATCTTGGGCGCTGTGAGGTCGGCCGTAGGGATCTTGTCGAGGACTGCCGAGACTTCGGCCGAGTCGATTGAGTTTGCAAGGATCTCGCGTGCCACGACGTCGCGGGCGGAGCGTTGCGAAGGCGTCCAATCGCGGGGGTGATTCCGTCGGAGGACGTAGGAGCGGATGTCGTCCGCTAGGCACAGGCGAAGCTGGCGTGTCCAGTTCGCGAACGTCTTCGGCCCGTCCAACCGCGCATGCTTCGGGAAGGCATTGCGATTGGAGCCGGATGTCGTGGCGGGTGCGGTAGTGCCGGAAGCGGCAGCGGTGAGTCCCGACAGCAGCGATGTAAGTGCGGCAAGCTGTTCGGCGGGAATTGTCGGGTTGGCGCTCGTCGCGAGGGTTGACGACGTGTCCATGCCAGCGGTAGCTCGATGGGCTTATAACCTATGAGATGATCACCACTACTGTCAGGAGAAGTCGAGAGTCGAACAGAAGTGATCTATTTCAGCGTACCTATGAGATGATCACCACTACTGTCAGGAGAAGTCGAGAGTCGAACAGAAGTGATGAGAAGGAAGCTAAGAAATGGAAAGGTGGCCCGCGCTGGGATATGCCCAGGCGCGGGCGAAATCGCTGGAGCGCTGAGGCAGTCGCGCGCGGCTAAGTCCCACTGCAAGGGCGGGCTAGCGGCGCGCGCCCGAAAACCGCCGGCGCCGGCGCGCTGAGGCACTCGCGCGCGCCTAAGTCCCCACCACAGGGGCCAGGCTAGCAGGCGCGCGCAACGACCGAGGCGCCCCTGTCGAGCTGAGAGTGGACTCTTCACACAAGTCCCTTGTGCCCGCCATCCTACGACCGATCGATGGCGCCAAGGTTACCTCGGGCGAGCACAAGATGTACCTCTTCACGGATGCCAGTCGGGTTGGCATTGGCGCTTGTTTGGCGTCCGGGCCCAACCGTTCGCAGGCCGTTCCAACGCGATTCTTTTCCGCTAAGTTCAACGGTGCTCAGCTCAACTATCATGTCACTGATAAAGAGTTCTTGGCTGTCGTCTCGGCGTGTCGGGCGTTCGAGCAGCACTTGATCGGTTACCCCTTCGTCATCGTCACCGACCATCAGGCCCTTCGCACGATAAAAACCCAAAAACTGCGCCAAACGCCTCGGCACATCCGCATGTGTCTCGAACTCAGCCGTTTCGACTTCGAATTGAATTCATTGCTGGCAAGAACAACACCCTGGCCGATTTGTTGTCGCGTCTGTGGGAGGTCAAGCAGGGTTCACACGAGGATCAGGTCAAGGAGAATGAGTTGGAGGACATGTTCTTTGATGGAGAACGCCACGAATTCACTACACCCGGTGAGAGCCTCCTGAGGAACGTCCTTGCACTTCACCATCTCCCGATCGGTTGCCTCCTGTTGATTTTGCCCTCGGCCCCAACACGACGATTGCGAGGCAGGCTCTCCCGGATACTACGCGCTCAAGGAGGAATCGCAAGACGAGGACGTGAATGGACAGGAATTAGGGAATTTGTTCTTGAAGGAAGAATGCCACGAGTTCATTACGCCCGGTGAGAGCCTCCTCGAGGAACGTCCTTACACCTCACCTTCGCACGATCGGTTGCCCCCTGTTGATTGCGCCTTCGGGCCCTGGGGTCACGGTTACGACGCAGGCTCTCCCGGTTCCCCTCATCTGGCCGAGAACATTATGGACGCCGTCGATTGGTCTATCGGCCGCCTCTCTCCTCCCATCGCTGTCAATCGAGTTCACGCTATTGCTACGGCCCCTGCCAACGACCCGCCCATTCCGGTCGATGCCGACGCCGACGAACTCGATTTGTTGGGAGTTGCCACCGATGATGTCAACGACACCCCTGTAGTCCATCGGCCGCCTGATCCACTGCCCCAACCCTTCCTCGACACCGTCATCCGAGCATACGCCAACGATTCGCAAGCCCAGGTCATCATTACCGACCCGCTATCATGGCCTATGTTTCGGGTGACCGAGGAAGGGAGGATTTTGCGTGTACATCCAGATGAGTCTATTTCCTTGTTTGTGCCTCGTGGTCTCGCTACTGGCGTCGTCAACTCCGACAAGGTCCCATCGCTGCGCGAGCTCGTGCTTTCGGAGATTCATCGGAGTGTCGGGCATGCAGGACATCGCATCACCTTGGCCGCCATCCGTCCTTTGTACTGGTGGTCGTCCATGTCTGCCGATTGCGCCGAGTTCTGCCGTTCATGTGAAGACTGTATGAGATGATCACCACTACTGTCAGGAGAAGTCGAGAGTCGAACAGAAGTGATCTATTTCAGCGTACCTATGAGATGATCACCACTACTGTCAGGAGAAGTCGAGAGTCGAACAGAAGTGATGAGAAGGAAGCTAAGAAATGGAAAGGGGGCCCGCGCTGGGATATGCCCAGGCGCGGGCGAAATCGCTGGAGCGCTGAGGCAGTCGCGCGCGGCTAAGTCCCCACTGCAAGGGCGGGCTAGCGGCGCGCGCCCGAAAACCGCCGGCGCCGGCGCGCTGAGGCACTCGCGCGCGCCTAAGTCCCCACCACAGGGGCCAGGCTAGCAGGCGCGCGCAACGACCGAGGCGCCCCTGTCGAGCTGAGAGTGGACTCTTCACAGACTGTACCCGAGGCAAGGCGTCCACTCAAGTCCCCTATGGCCGACTGCATCCGATGCCGATCCCTTCTGGTCCTTGGGAACAAGTGGCCATCGACTTCATGACAGGACTGCCTCCGGTCGAGCTCGAAGGGATGATGGTTGCTCAAATCATGGTGGTCACTGACACTTGGGGCAAGATGGTCCACCTGATTCCCCTCCCAGCCGATGCCGACTCGGAGCTCGTTGCCGAGAAGTACTACGCCACCGTCTTCCGACTGCATGGGATGCCTTCCGCCATCGTTTCCGACCGTGATCCCAAGTTCACCTCGCAGTTTTGGCGGGCATTGCAGGCAAAGATTGGCACCGTCTTGCGAATGTCAACCGCGGCACACCCGGAGACGGACGGATCGAGCGAGAATCGGATCAAGATGGTCACCCAAACCCTGCGGATCATGGTCTCGTCAAACCACGAGGCTTGGGCATCTCGTCTTGTTGAAGCTGAGTTCGCTCTTAACTCTTCTGTTGCTGTGTCCACGTCGCTGTCGGCTTTTGAGGCAACCTACGGCTACCTTCCTCGATGCTGGCCCTCGGATTCCTGGTCTGTCTCGGACGTCCCTCGTGCGGAAGCGTTTGCTCGGATCCGACAATTACGGAACCTCGACGTGACGGATGCGATCATTGGAGCACGCCTCAACCAGTCCCATCAGGCCAACAAGCATCAACGCCCAGACGACCCCGCCTTTCGGACCGGCAGTTACGTCTATCTTTCGACAAAGAACCTGGCAGTTCCTGACGGCATGAAGTCGAAGTTGTTGCCGCGCTACATCGGCCCCTTCCGTATCCGAGCGGCCATCCCTGCGACGTCCAGCTACGACCTCGAGCTCCTCCAGCGATGTCGCGAGTGCACAATCGTTTCCATGCTCGACTGCTTCGGCCTTGCGTTGAGAATGATGCTGAAAGGTTTCCTGGGCGTGACCCGCAGTTCTTTTTGTCGAAGACGTAGCCGACGCGGCCGACAATTCTGCGATTCCGGAACGGATTGTTCGCGATCGGCGGAACGCTCGGGGCGCTCGTTCGTTCTTGGTTCGATGGGTAGGCCGTAACGACACCGACGATACTTGGATGTCAGAGCAGTCCATTCGCCTTGACCATCCGTCCGTCCTCGACGCCTACCTCGCGCGCCTCGATCGCTCGAACCGCCGCCTCGCCGCACGGTAGACTTCCTTCTGGGGGGGACAGTGTCAGGATGACAGCGTGTACTCGAAGGAAGCCCCCCAAGGCTATGTGCGGGTAGAGTTGACTTGACCAGAGGCTTGCCTCGTTTCACAGCATCGTCGGTGCGATGGCGTAGTCGTTCGGCGCGCGGGCGCGCACTTAATGGTCGCGGGTTCAAGGCGCGCAGAGCGCAATCTTCTCTCGGTTTTTGTTCTTTTTGTTAGCTGAGGCGCGGCCTCAGGGTTTTTACCGGTGCTCCCGCGAGCAATCCTTTTCCCCCTGAGGCGACCTCTTGGAGTAGCTGAATTGGCTAAGTCCCCTCTGCGCCTGAGTGCCTCCCTTTTGTTTTTAGCACCTTCCACTCAGCCTGGTCCGCCACATCTCCCAAGATCCCTTCACCTTCATCCTTCGTTTTCGATCTCGTTGGCAATAAAGTCCGATATACTTGACTTGCTGCGAGCCTCACAACCGCGTCCCCTCCTCGGTTGTCCCTCGGTCGCCTGCCCCCGCCCAGTCGACCTTCCTTCGGCCTGATCCCTCCTCCGCGTGTAGTCAACGTCTTCTGAAGAGGACGTTGCCTGCCATGGCGCCCGAGTCGACGACAAAAGAGTGGTTGCGAAGCTGGCGACGACGAGCGAGAAGACCGGTGGCGAGACATCCGACATGGTGTTGCGAGTCGACGGTCGAGTCAGCAGTGTCGGGCTTTTGCCGTCCTCGAGCGCCTTCTTGCAGTCGAGAGACCAGTGATCCTTCTTCTTGCAGGAGCGACAGGGTCCTGGCGGCGGGTGTTGCGCCCTCGTAGGGCACTCCGCGACTCGGTGCGAAGGGCTGCGACAGGCGAGACACTTGGGACGAGTAGAACGTGACGACGACGAGGCAAGAAGGGCCGATTGAGTGCTGGGGATGTTCGTTGACCGAAGTTGGACTCGCATACGGTCGGCAAGCGAATCAATGTCGGGGAGAGTTCGTTGCGTGCGCTGTTCATCGGTGAACGACGCCTTGAAGCTCTCGAGGGACGGGTGGGCGATTGCAAGGAGGAGTGTGGCGAGAACATCATTGATAGTTGCCTTTGTGTCGATGATCTCTTGCGCAACAGCTTTGAACTCCATGATCCACCCGTCGAATTCGGCAACCGTGCCGGGCATGGGACGGAAACCCCAGAGTCGTGAGAAGAGCTCGAGCGTGCGGGTGGCGTCGTCAGGGGCGTACCGCGATTTCAGCGTCGAGTAGATTGTCGGCGCTGTCAGGTCGGCGGTAGGGATTTTGTCGAGGACTGCCGAGACTTCGGCCGAGTCAATCGAATTCGCAAGGACCTCACGAGCGACGGCGTCGCGAGCGGAGCGTTGCGAAGGTGTCCAGTCGTCGGGTGCGATACCGTCGAGGACGTACGAGCGGATGTCGTCCGCTAGGCACAGGCGAAGTTGGCGTGTCCAGTTCGCGAAGGTCTTCGCACCATCCAAGCGTGCGTGCTTTGGAAAGGCAGTGCGAGTGGTGCCGGACGTCGTGGCGGGTGTGGCAGTGCCGGAAGCGGCAGCGGTGAGACCCGACAGCAGCGATGTAAGTGCGGCAAGCTGTTCGGCGGGAATCGGAGGGTTGGCACCCGTCGCGAGGGGTGGTGTCGTGGTCATGCCAGCTGGTGGCTCGTTGGCTTATAACCTATGAAGGAACAATATACCACTGCACCAAAAGGCGAGGCACCTCTACTTCAGTTATTAAATCGTGTGTCTCGAGAGGAGACTGGATCGGCAACCAGTGAGTACACGAGACACAGTATGAGTGTTAGGAAGTAGTTTGGAGCGTTAGGGGGAAGACTAAAGAGGCTCGCGGTGCGAGTGCGCGAAATATCTCTAAGTCCAAAAGGGGTCCGAGCGGCGCGCGGCTGGCTAGGCTGGGCGCGGGCTGGAGATCGACCTAAGCAAGAGTGTATGGAATTCAACAAAAACTTGGCTAGCCGAGGTTGAACTCGAGACGGGTGTGACGCTGAAGGTCCTCCGAACCGACAACGGTGGCGAATACTGTTCAAGAGCGTTCACAGAGTTCTGCAAGGCACGAGGCACCCGTCGACAATACTCTATCCCACGCACGCCTCAACAGAACGGTCGTGCAGAGCGGGTCAATCGTTCCATTGTCGAAGGCATCCTTGCCCTCCTTGTCGACGCCCACCTACCCAAGACATTCTGGGAGGAGGCTGCAGCTTATTTCGTTTACTGCAAGAACCTGTGTCAACACGCGGCCCTGGACAAGGCAACACCAAACTCCGTCTGGCAGGGTGACCACACCACTGCCTCGGCGCTTCACCCGTTCGGCTGTACAGCTTGGCTTACTGTCAGGATCACAGCCTGCACTGCCATCAATACTCGAAGGAAGTATCCCAAGTTTGCGGCCGGAGTCGACATCAGCTACCGGTTCGTTCGTTGCAAGCATCGTGGGCGCGATGGCGTAGTCGTGAGGGCACGCGGGCGCGCACTCAGTGGTCGAGGGTTCGATCCGCCCGGAGCGCGATTGGCCTTTTGGTTTCTTTTCCTTTTTGTTATCCGAGGCCCGGCTTCGGGGTTTTTACCGGTGCCTTGCGGGCAATCCTTTTTACCCCTGAAGCGACCTCGTGGTGTAGTTATTTGACTCAGTCTTTCCTTCACTCGGAGCACTTCCCTCCCTTTGCTTTTGCCACCTTTCCCCCAGAGCTTGGTCAACTCTTCTAGACTCGTACCCTCCCTCTTTTTACCCATTTCGCTGGCAATTAAGTCCGTTACACTTGATTTGCTGCGAAGCCTTCCGACCGAATCCACTCCTCGGTCGCTCTCGGTCGACTTCCGCCGCCCAGCCGACTCGACCTTCCCATCGGCCTGGTCAGCTATTTCTTGGATCGTTTGCCCTCCCTCTTCTTTCCGACCTCATTGGCTACCATAGTCCGGTACACTGGACTTGCTGCGAGCCTTGCAACCGCATGTCCTCCGCGGTTGCCTCTCGGTCGACACCCCTTTCGCGTGCTCTCTCGCTCTCTCCCTCGTCTCTCGCGTGTAGTCATCGTCATCCCCTCCGACGTTGCCTGTCACTTACGGTCGCGCCCGAACTTCGCTCCAAACTCGACCCGAAGGCGGTTCGCGTTCTTTTCACCGGCTACGACCTGGCTTCAAAAGCCTTTCGCTTCTACGACACTACGACACAGAAGATTATACTTGGCAGAAATGCCACGTTCCTCGACACTGAATTCCCCGGATTACATGACGACCCCACTGAGCAAGACGACGACACGCACTTCGTCAGCGCTCCCACCACCGAATCTCAAGCCGTTGTCAAGACATGGACCCCACTAGTAAGGTCGGCGCACATGGACGTCTCATCCCCCCTTGATGATTCTGCCATGAGCGCCGTTGACGTGGCCCCAGGGTACACTGGCGGAACCTTACTTAACTTCACAGATGCCGAATCGTCCTCGTCACCGTCGCCTGCGCCATCGCCTGCACTTTCACCATCGTCGGCTGCGTCATCGTCACCCTCGGTCTTACCGACCGACTCTGAAGACTCCGCCATATGAGACGATCACCACTACTGTCAGGAGAGGTTGAGAGTCGAACAGAAGTGATGAGAAGGAAGCTAAGAACAGAAAGGGGGCCACGCTGGGATAGGCCCAGGCGCGTGACAATGTACATCCCTAAGTCAGCCGCGGGTGAAATCGCCGGGCGCGCCTAAGTCTCCACCGCAAGGGGGCGGGCTAGCGGGCGCGCGCATGAATCCGCCGGCGCTGGCGCGCTGAGGCAGTCGCGCGCGTCTAAGTCCCCACCGCCGGGGGGCGGCTAGCAAGTGCGCGCAACGACCGAGGCGCCCCTGTCGAGCTGAGAGTGGACTCTTCACAATTCACGTGCTCACCGCGTGCCTCCAAAGCCTCCATGACGGATTGGCTCTCGGCACAAGTCGAGCGGTATCGTGCATGGCCAGCGACTGCAACCGCCCGCAGAGCGGCGTCATAGACATCGCCAAGTGGAGCGGTCCCCTCGAGCCTTCGATAGACCTCGTCGACGACCCCGGGAATCGATGCGACAAAGTCTTGATCGTCAAAGACCATTGGGTTGAGCCTTGAAATGAAATCGCTCGTGGAGGGAAGAGAAAGGGGGGGTTCGGCATCAGCGTTCGATGTAGGCAAAGCGAAAGTCGCAACTACAGGTCTGTGGTCCGAACAGGGCGCATCGAAGAGCGTAGAAGCGCTCAACAACCGGTTCGCCCAACTGCATTGGACAAGAATATAGTCAATCCGCGACCACGAGCAAATCTTTCGCTCTTCCCCTCTACCACGGTAGTGAGGACGAGTGAATGCAGGGGTGCAAGAATGGACATGTCGGACCGTGTCGAGTGCCTTGAACGCGATCTTTGACAGCAAGGTCTGCCAGTGCGATACAGGAGTCCAAGCGCGATCGGTGATGGACACTCGGTCGACCAATACATCCGGACAATCGTTGAGATCGCTGGCCAAGATCCGAAGAATCTTGGGTCTCGGGGCGCTGAAGTGCAGAAGCCCGAAAAAGTCGCGACGATCGTCCTCCTGCACCGGCGCGTACATGTTGATGATCTCGACATCGAGCTCCTCAAGACGAAACACCGAGCGCAGAATCCGACCGTCGAAACGAGGAGCTCCTGCAAAGACGACCGGGGTAGAGGAAAGGAGATGGCCCGCCAAAGGTGAGCCATCGGGTATGAGGGTAAGGACATGAGGAGTGAAACGAATACAAGCCCCGGCCAAGCACTCTCGAAGCCTTTGCGCGACGCGTTGTAGCTGAGGTGGTGCTCTTGCAGGAGGATGGCCGCAGGGGCCGGCCGAAGGGTTTTGAGATAACGGATGATTTTGACTTGGTTGACTGCGTTCTTCATCGATCGGACGTTGAACGTCAACACGGTGAGTGACTCAATCATGATTAAATCAGTTCAGCGCCGCCCCCCTCGAATTCGGTCACCTTGGACCTGTGACCCCTGATGCACCGAGGATCATGGCGGATCCCGCCCGGGTGACATGTCGGTTGCTGGGTGCCGAGCTCGAACGAAGGCGTTGAGGACTCGTCGAGGCTATCGAGGTTGTCGAGGTTGCCGATGATCCCGACGTGCCACCGGACAAAGGCGAAGGAGAGGTCGGGGTCGAAACGGGTGCCGCCGTCGTCGTCTACGTCTCCTTTGTTGAGCCCAGGGTCGCACGCGTCGACGTCTCTTCCCCAGTGTCGCCGCCCTCCGGTTCGGTCGAAACGACCGACTCGTCGTCGCCGTCGTTCGCGTCGTCCTTGTTGGCAGTTACTGCACCTGCGGGGTTAGCACGAGGTCCAGCTGGATCATGTTTGCGCCAGAGACACGAGAGTTCAATGCGGCAGGCCCACCGTGCTTCCCATTCTTTCCAGCAACTCGGAAGCCGGTGGTCGAAGTCGAAGTCGAGGTCGAGGCCCCCGGAACAGGGGCGGCGGTGGCCGGAGTCGAAACTGGCTTCCTGCAAGCGCCCCACTGGTGTCCGGCGCGATCGCACACCGCGCAGTAGTGCGTCTCAAATTCGTGTCGCAAGCCGTACTTGGCGCCCAGGATCTCGATCTCTTGTGGCAAAGCGGCATTGAGCGCAGCCTTCTGCGTCTCGATGGAGCCTTGGAAAAGATCAGCATGTAAGCGAAGGTACGCGCAGTGGAACCCGTCTTCGGTCATGGCCATCGGATCACCATTCGGATCGACCGCGAGGCCCCGCTGTAATTGCATCAGGGTATAACCTTGCGTGCGACCTGCGTGGCCGAACGAAAGGGTGATAGCATCATCGAGAGATTTTCGGAGCACAGAAGCGGGGATCGCGCTGGAGGAGGAGGGCAAGGTGAATCACACCTGCATGACGTGGTTAAGGGGAGAGGCGCTGGGGAGCTCGGTAACCATCTCCTTGCCGTGGTAGGGGAATGGGCCCGCTGAAGCGGCTTCAAGACAAGCTTGCTCGGATTCGAATACAAGCTCGTACATGTGACGAGCGATCGGGAACCTCTTCGTGGCTTTCGTCACAATCGGGTTCAGCTTCACGCATTTCGAGAAAAGCTTCTCGACCTCGGGGTCAAGCACGACACCCTCGGCCGCGCGAACATGAACGGTGTCTCGGCCAATCCAAAGTGCTTGCGCAGCGCAGTCTGTACAGGACCATCCATAATGACTCGAATCACATTGGAGGCCAGGGCTGCGTCGTTTCGCACCGCTCTTTGGGCGGCTCGTGCGAGCGCTGGCGCCTGCGAAGGCGGGGTCAAGGTGTCGTGCATCAGGACCATCAGTCGGCGGGTCGACTTGCTGGAGGGAACAATCCCGAGCACTTGGAAGGTCTTCTTCATCAGCTTCTCATGGTCCAACTGGACCTGAGTTGCCTCGGGCGACCAAGCTGGAGGATTCGTGGTTCCTCCAGTGACCACTTCACACGTTTGCGTGTTGAGTGATGAATCACTCGCGCCATTACCACCCAATAGGTCCTCGGGCGGGGGCGCATCGGCGCCGGGCGGATCCGGCATCGCGTGTTTGTGTTGACCTGTAAAGCTTAATGGGCTTGGAGGTCAACTACTCACTCTACACCCAGAAACTCACTTGTGTGCGGGTGTGTGTGTGTGTGTTTTTGTTTTTTTTGTAGAAACCGTTCATCATATTGCCCCCAATTCCTGTTCCCCCTGATTGGCCTACGGAAAAACTAGATGGAAGTCGACGATGATAACACAAACCGCCGCAAGATGCAAGAAACGGGCCAAGTCCACCAATCCGATACTTCGGATTCAAGTGCCCAGCCAAGCGGTTGCTACCCCCAGGAGACGAATGAGAGAGAGAAGAGAAAGAGAGAAAATGAAAAGAACTGGCGTACTAATGACAAGAGGCCACCCCGCACCCACTTCCCAACTCGGTCGAGACAAAGACAGGAGAGCGACTGCGCAGCTACCCTGACCCGCGAAGTCCCCAAGTCTATGCTCGGTCACAACAAGTGTGAAGAGTCCACTCTCAGCTCGACAGGGGCGCCTCGGTCGTTGCGCGCGCCTGCTAGCCTGGCCCCTGTGGTGGGGACTTAGGCGCGCGCGAGTGCCTCAGCGCGCCGGCGCCGGCGGTTTTCGGGCGCGCGCCGCTAGCCCGCCCTTGCAGTGGGGACTTAGCCGCGCGCGACTGCCTCAGCGCTCCAGCGATTTCGCCCGCGCCTGGGCATATCCCAGCGCGGGCCACCTTTCCATTTCTTAGCTTCCTTCTCATCACTTCTGTTCGACTCTCGACTTCTCCTGACAGTAGTGGTGATCATCTCATAGGTACGCTGAAATAGATCACTTCTGTTCGACTCTCGACTTCTCCTGACAGTAGTGGTGATCATCTCATAGGTTATAAGCCCATCGAGCTACCGCTGGCATGGACACGTCGTCAACCCTCGCGACGAGCGCCACCCCGACAATTCCCGCCGAACAGCTTGCCGCACTTACATCGCTGCTGTCGGGACTCACCGCTGCCGCTTCCGGCACTACCGCACCCGCCACGACATCCGGCTCCAATCGCAATGCCTTCCCGAAGCATGCGCGGTTGGACGGGCCGAAGACGTTCGCGAACTGGACACGCCAGCTTCGCCTGTGCCTAGCGGACGACATCCGCTCCTACGTCCTCGACGGAATCACCCCGACGATTGGACGCCTTCGCAACGCTCCGCCCGCGACGTCGTGGCACGCGAGATCCTTGCAAACTCAATCGACTCGGCCGAAGTCTCGGCAGTCCTCGACAAGATCCCTACGGCCGACCTCACAGCGCCCAAGATTTACTCGACGCTGAAATCGCGATACGCCCCTGATGACGCCACTCGCACGCTCGAGCTCTTCTCGCGACTCTGGGGCTTCCGACCCATGCCCGGAACGGTTGGCGAATTTGACAGTTGGATCATGGACTTCAAGTCGGTCGCGCAAGAGATCATCGATACGAAAACGACGATCAACGACGTCCTTGCCACACTCCTCCTCGCGATCGCCCACCCGTCACTCGAGAGCTTCAAGGCAACGTTCACCGACGAACAACGCACGCAACGAACTCTCCCTGACATCGATTCAGTGGCCGACCGTATGCGAGTTCAACTCCGGTCAACGAACCTCTCCAACGATCAATCGGCCCTCCTTGCCTCGTCGTCGCCACGTTCTACCCGTACCAAGTGCCTCGCCTGTCGCAGCCTTCTCACCGCGTCGCACAATGCCCTACAAGGGCCCAGCATCCACCGCCAGGCCCGTGTCGCTCCTGCAAGAAGAAGGACCACTGGTCTTTCGACTGCAAAAAGGCTCTTGAGGACGGGAAAACGCCCGACACCTCTGATGCGCAACACCATGTCGGATGTCTCGCCACCGGTCTTCTCGCACATCGTCGTCAGCTTCGCAACAACTCCTTCGTCGTCGACTCGGGTGCCACTTCGCACATGGTCTCGGACAAGTCGCTGTTCACGGCTATCGCCACATCGCTCCTACGAAGATTGGTGGTATTGCAGGGGGCATCAACGCCGTCGGAACGGGAAACATCGCCTTTGTTGCCGCCTCCGGTCACCGATCACGCTTACCGGCGTGCTGCACACCCCGGGCCTGTCTGTCAACCTCCTCTCGGTCTCTCGACTTTGCGACACCGACGATGTCCGTGTCGCCTTCACGAAGCACGGCATCCATATCGACAAGAACGGCAATGCTATCGCTGAAGGCGCAAGACTCGAGGAAGGGCTCTACTTGCTGGACGCTGATCATTCCAAATGTCAGCATCTCGCTCTCCTCTCTCGCTCACAGTCTTCCGTGCCCCTGCTGACCCTTCACCGCTGCCTCGGCCATCTCGCACCGTCGTCCATACAGAAGATGGTTGCCGCTGGTTTGCTGGAAGTCTCGGGGCCGGATATAGTGACGAAGAGGTAGAGAAGTTTGTCTGCAATGCTTGCCTCAGTGCAAAGGGCCATCGTCTTCCTTTTCCCGATTCGGACTCGCACTCCTCAGAGAGACTCGGCCTCGTACACAGCGATGTGCTTTCCTTTCCGAGTCGTCCTTGACTGGCAAGCGTTACCTGGTCACGTTTTCTTGACGACTTCTCGCGCAAACTGTGGGCATACGCGATCGGACACAAAAGCGAAGTCTTTGGCGTGTTCAAAGACATGGCTTGCCGAGGTCGAACTCGAGACGGATGCAAAACTGAAGGTCCTCCGAACCGACAATGGTGGCGAATACTGTTCGAGAGCGTTCACGGAATTCTGTAAGGCACGCGGCACACGTCGACAATACTCTATCCTCGAACGCCTCAACAGAACGGTCGTGCCGAACGAGTCAATCGTTCTATCGTCGAAGGTGTCTTGCCCTCCTTGCAGACGCCCACTTACCCAAATCATTCTGGGAGGAGGCAGCAGCTTATTTCGTCTACTGCAAGAACCTGTGCGAACACTCGGCCCTGGACAAGGCAAACCGAACTTCGCTGGCAGGGCGACCGCACCAACGCCTCGGCGCTTCACCCGTTCGGCTGCACGGCTTGGCTCACAGTCGCGCCTGAACTTCGCTCGAAACTCGACCCGAAAGCGGTTCGCGTTCTCTTCACCGGCTATGACCTGGCTTCTAAAGCCTTCCGTTTCTACGACACGACGACCAAGAAGATCAGTTTGGGCAGAAATGCCAGGTTCCTCGACAACGAATTTCCCGGGTTACGTAGCGGACTCCACCGAGCAAGACGCCGACACGCACTTCGCCAGCGCTTGCCCGACCACGAATCCCAAGCCGTTGTCAAGACATGGACCCCACTAGTAAGGTCGGCGCACATGGACGTCTCATCCTCTCTTGATGACTCTGCCATGAGCGCCGTTGACGTGGCCCCAGGGTACACTGGCGGAACCTTACTTAATTCCACAGATGCCGATCGTCCTCGTCACCGTCTCCTGAGCCGTCCTCGTCACCGTCGCCCGCAACTCCCTTGTCACCGGTCGCCTGCGCTGTCACCGTCGTTGGCTGCGTCATCGTCACCCTCGGCCTTACCGACCGACTCTGACTATCCGCCGACCCTCTGGACCTCATCGGCTCACAGACCCCGACTCGCCTCGGCCCACGGACGTGCACCGCCCAGACTTCAGCACGTACCGTGAGCCCGCATCGGGCTGAGGAGTCGCCCGACGAACTCGACATCATTGGGCGCACTCGCGCGATGAATCGCCGGACGAAATCGATTTCCTCACCCAACACCACGCGCCTTCATCGCCACCGACGACGACAACTCTGACACAGAAGCCATTCAACCAGTCAAGTCCATCACCAGCGACCCACAGACATGGCGCGAGGCAATGTCGAGTGACAAGCGCGAAGTGTGGGCCAAGGCCGCTACCGACGAGTTCAATTCCATGCGCGACGACTTCAAGGTCTTCACCATCGAGGGACGATCCACGGTACCACGGGTGCGACCATCGTCACATCCAAGTTCGTCTGGAAAACGAAACGGAATGCACTCGGCGAAGTCACCGGCCACAAGGCACGGCTTCGTGGCGCAGGGAAATCGGCAACGCGACGGCATCGACTTCAACGAAACCTTCGCACCAGTCGCACTTCTCCTCGATACGCTCACTCCTCGCGCTGGCGGCCGCCAACGGCTTGCACGTGCACCAGGCGGAACATCGACAAAGCCTATCTGCATGGCACCTTGACCATGACATCTGGATGACGACACCGCGCGGCTTTGACTTCCCACCGACAAGGTGCTTCGTCTGCGACGCTCCATCTACGGACTCAAACAGCTGGCCGAATCTGGGAATCGACACATCGACGCATCGCTTCGAGATCTCGGCTATACGGCGACGGGCACCGGACCATGCGTGTACTCTGGATCGACGATCGCGACGCCCACACTACATCGCGCTGTACGTCGACGACCTCCTGATGATCAGCCCGACTTGGCCGAAATTGAACGTGTCATCTCGGGCTCGAACAACGCTACGGCGTCAAGCGCCTCGCCCGGCAGAGTACATCCTCGGCATCCAGATCAGGCGACTCGAAGACGGTTCTATTTGCCCTGTCCAGGAACGGTACATCATGGACGTGCTTGCTCGGTTCCACTTCGACACCACGACTCGCGGACTACAGTCCCGATGACCCCGGCCTTTCGCTCACCGCCATCCCGGGTCAAGGCACCGAACGGATCAGGTCATGGTATCTGCAGGCTATCGGCTCGCTCCTCTACATTTCGCTCGGCACCCGCCCCGACATCGCCTCGCAGTGTCCTACCTGGCCGCTTCGCCAACAACCCTGGACGTCGTCACTGGATCGCGGTCAAGCAATCCTCCGCTATCTCCGGCCAATATCGCGACGAACTGGTTTATGCTTGCGGCGAGACACGCATCACGGGGTGGTTGGCTACTCCGACGCGAACTGGGGGCCTGCGTCGATACGTCGGTGTCCACTATGGGCTACGTCTTCTACATTGCCGGATCGCCGTGTCTTGGTCGTCCAAGGTCAATCTCGAGTTGCCGATTCTACCACCGACGCTGAATACCTCGCCCTCTCGCATGCTGCAAGGAAGGGATCTACCTCAGTCAGCTGCTCGAGGAGCTCCATGTCCAACCTTTTGCACGGCTCACATTTTCTGACAATGAAGCCGCTGCCGCAGTTGCCCACGACCCTGCCGCGTCTCCGGCACTCGACACATACGCTTGCGCGAGCACTTTGTTCGGGACATGGTGAATCGGGGCGATATCTCACTCTCGATGTGGGAACAGCAACATGGTGCCGACATCTTCACAAAGGCTCTTGGCCCAAAGATTTTCTCGACACCTGCTACGCACTAGGCCTTCGCACTCGACACCACGGCTTGGATCTGCCTCGCATTTCGCGTGGGGGGGGGTGTGAAGAGTCCACTCTCAGCTCGACAGGGGCGCCTCGGTCGTTGCGCGCGCCTGCTAGCCTGGCCCCTGTGGTGGGGACTTAGGCGCGCGCGAGTGCCTCAGCGCGCCGGCGGCCGGGCGGTTTTCGGGCGCGCGCCGCTAGCCCGCCCTTGCAGTGGGGACTTAGCCGCGCGCGACTGCCTCAGCGCTCCAGCGATTTCGCCCGCGCCTGGGCATATCCCAGCGCGGGCCACCTTTCCATTTCTTAGCTTCCTTCTCATCACTTCTGTTCGACTCTCGACTTCTCCTGACAGTAGTGGTGATCATCTCATAGGTACGCTGAAATAGATCACTTCTGTTCGACTCTCGACTTCTCCTGACAGTAGTGGTGATCATCTCATAACAAGACGCGGTGGAGGCCCCTCAAAACCTCCACCTCAGCAGTCCCTGGCCCTCAAAGCCGACTTTCTGCCTGTGTCTGCTGATCCCTCCCTTGACTCAGAACCCCGAAGCCAAAGAGCGCGAGCCACCGTCGAGTCAATCCCAAATCGCGAGCCGGTCCATGAGCAACGGAGGCAGACCTGTAATAAAAGAAAGAAAGATGAAGAAAATGAAGAGTCCACTCTCAGCTCGACAGGGGCGCCTCGGTCGTTGCGCGCGCCTGCTAGCCTGGCCCCTGTGGTGGGGACTTAGCGCGCGCGAGTGCCTCAGCGCGCCGGCGCCGGCGGTTTTCGGGCGCGCGCCGCTAGCCCGCCCTTGCAGTGGGGACTTAGCCGCGCGCGACTGCCTCAGCGCTCCAGCGATTTCGCCCGCGCCTGGGCATATCCCAGCGCGGGCCACCTTTCCATTTCTTAGCTTCCTTCTCATCACTTCTGTTCGACTCTCGACTTCTCCTGACAGTAGTGGTGATCATCTCATAGGTACGCTGAAATATATCACTTCTGTTCGACTCTCGACTTCTCCTGACAGTAGTGGTGATCATCTCATAGGTTATAAGCCCATCGAGCTACCGCTGGCATGGACACGTCGTCAACCCTCGCGACGAGCGCCACCCCGACAATTCCCGCCGAACAGCTTGCCGCACTTACATCGCTGCTGTCGGGACTCACCGCTGCCGCTTCCGGCACTACCGCACCCGCCACGACATCCGGCTCCAATCGCAATGCCTTCCCGAAGCATGCGCGGTTGGACGGGCCGAAGACGTTCGCGAACTGGACACGCCAGCTTCGCCTGTGCCTAGCGGACGACATCCGCTCCTACGTCCTCGACGGAATCACCCCCGACGATTGGACGCCTTCGCAACGCTCCGCCCGCGACGTCGTGGCACGCGAGATCCTTGCAAACTCAATCGACTCGGCCGAAGTCTCGGCAGTCCTCGACAAGATCCCTACGGCCGACCTCACAGCGCCCAAGATTTACTCGACGCTGAAATCGCGATACGCCCCTGATGACGCCACTCGCACGCTCGAGCTCTTCTCGCGACTCTGGGGCTTCCGACCCATGCCCGGAACGGTTGGCGAATTTGACAGTTGGATCATGGACTTCAAGTCGGTCGCGCAAGAGATCATCGATACGAAAACGACGATCAACGACGTCCTTGCCACACTCCTCCTCGCGATCGCCCACCCGTCACTCGAGAGCTTCAAGGCAACGTTCACCGACGAACAACGCACGCAACGAACTCTCCCTGACATCGATTCAGTGGCCGACCGTATGCGAGTTCAACTCCGGTCAACGAACCTCTCCAACGATCAATCGGCCCTCCTTGCCTCGTCGTCGCCACGTTCTACCCGTACCAAGTGCCTCGCCTGTCGCAGCCCTTCTCACCGCGTCGCACAATGCCTACAAGGGCCCAGCATCCACCGCCAGGCCCGTGTCGCTCCTGCAAGAAGAAGGACCACTGGTCTTTCGACTGCAAAAAGGCTCTTGAGGACGGGAAAACGCCCGACACCTCTGATGCGCAACACCATGTCGGATGTCTCGCCACCGGTCTTCTCGCACATCGTCGTCAGCTTCGCAACAACTCCTTCGTCGTCGACTCGGGTGCCACTTCGCACATGGTCTCGGACAAGTCGCTGTTCACGGCCTATCGCCACATCGCTCCTACGAAGATTGGTGGTATTGCAGGGGGCATCAACGCCGTCGGAACGGGAAACATCGCCTTTGTTGCCGCCTCCGGTCACCCGATCACGCTTACCGGCGTGCTGCACACCCGGGCCTGTCTGTCAACCTCCTCTCGGTCTCTCGACTTTGCGACACCGACGATGTCGTGTCGCCTTCACGAAGCACGGCATCCATATCGACAAGAACGGCAATGCTATCGCTGAAGGCGCAAGACTCGAGGAAGGGCTCTACTTGCTGGACGCTGATCATTCCAAATGTCAGCATCTCGCTCTCCTCTCTCGCTCACAGTCTTCCGTGCCCCTGCTGACCCTTCACCGCTGCCTCGGCCATCTCGCACCGTCGTCCATACAGAAGATGGTTGCCGCTGGTTTGCTGGAAGGCTCGGGGCCGGATATAGTGACGAAGAGGTAGAGAAGTTTGTCTGCAATGCTTGCCTCAGTGCAAAGGGCCATCGTCTTCCTTTTCCCGATTCGGACTCGCACTCCTCAGAGAGACTCGGCCTCGTACACAGCGATGTGCTTTCCTTTCCCGAGTCGTCCTTGACTGGCAAGCGTTACCTGGTCACGTTTCTGACGACTTCTCGCGCAAACTGTGGGCATACGCGATCGGACACAAAAGCGAAGTCTTTGGCGTGTTCAAGACATGGCTTGCCGAGGTCGAACTCGAGACGGATGCAAAACTGAAGGTCCTCCGAACCGACAATGGTGGCGAATACTGTTCGAGAGCGTTCACGGAATTCTGTAAGGCACGCGGCACACGTCGACAATACTCTATCCCTCGAACGCCTCAACAGAACGGTCGTGCCGAACGAGTCAATCGTTCTATCGTCGAAGGTGTCCTTGCCCTCCTTGCAGACGCCCACTTACCCAAATCATTCTGGGAGGAGGCAGCAGCTTATTTCGTCTACTGCAAGAACCTGTGCGAACACTCGGCCCTGGACAAGGCAACACCGAACTTCGCCTGGCAGGGCGACCGCACCAACGCCTCGGCGCTTCACCCGTTCGGCTGCACGGCTTGGCTCACAGTCGCGCCTGAACTTCGCTCGAAACTCGACCCGAAAGCGGTTCGCGTTCTCTTCACCGGCTATGACCTGGCTTCTAAAGCCTTCCGTTTCTACGACACGACGACCAAGAAGATCAGTTTGGGCAGAAATGCCAGGTTCCTCGACAACGAATTTCCCGGGTTACGTAGCGACTCCACCGAGCAAGACGCCGACACGCACTTCGCCAGCGCTTGCCGACCACCGAATTATTCGATCAACTCTACTACGTCAGCGATGTAGTTATAGCCAAGAGTGATCAATGCATTTCAACATACCTATTCGATCAACTCTACTACGTCAGCGATGTAGTTATAGCCAAGAGTGATGAATAGGAAGCTAACAATAAGAGACCCGCGCGCCCCAAGTCCACAGCCAGCGAGCCTGGGGCTGAGCCAATGGCCCAGGCTCGCTCCGCGCGCCTAAGTCCCAGGCTCGCTTCGCGCGCCTAAGTCCTGGGCCGGGGCGCCCGGCTCACTCCGCGCGCCTAAGTCCGCGCCCGGTTCGCTCCCGCGCGCCTAAGTCCTGAGCCGA